TTGACTGATTGAACCTTTTTTTTTTTGCACATGGCGGCGGAGGCCTAAAGTGAAAAGGTTTTATAAAACCCAGCTGAAGGCCTAGGACTGGGGTGACGGTGCGCGTGCCCACAGAGAGGGCTCTGAGTGCTGCCTCTGGCACGAGTGCCATAGGTTCGCCACCACTGACTTAGATAATTACAGGCACCCTAAGGTCCCTGAGCTTTTGGGATGAAATGCAAATAAAATAGTTTCATAAATGCAAACTGAAGTTTGTTTTTATGCTTGTTTAAAAGGATGAACCATATTATCTATTGAAAGGATGGTGTAACAACTGATTTATTTGTTAGATTTCTATCCAAACTTTTGAGTGAAAGGAAACCAAAATATGGGTTGTTTGTTAAGTTGCAACTTGTTAAGTTGCAATTTGTTAATTAAATGTGCAACCTTGCTTTCATGCAACTGCTGCTTGACATGTTAAATATTTAAATTGAAAATGTGATTCTTCTATTCATGTCTCTCAGTTTCTGGCACAATAGAACTTTGATTCTAGAGGTACAGAAAAATATTCTGGAAGTTGGCTTCTCAACTGGGATATAAGAAAATTTATTTTTTCATTTGATGGTCAGAAAAGCAGACGTGAAAACCAAAGTGATGCAAAGATTTAGACTTTTTTTTAAAATGTCTAATAAATATTTATTTTTATTGTGAACTTGTTTAAAACATCATCCTTTGTTTGTTGCACATTAAGCAAAGTTGGATATTTCAGCTGACAAATTGAGCAACATATGACCAGCTTCTTAGCATGTGTATAGAAATTCTACAATGGAAAATTGCTGCATTCCCCCCCTTTAAAAAAAAAAAAGGTCTGATTTGCTAAAATCTTGTTGAGATACCTAGAAAAGTATGCCACTAAAGCTGGCCATGCATATCCCCCACATCTTTGTATATATTATTTCTTAAATCTTGATTTTCCTGTATTGAATAGCATGGAATGCAATATGGTTGTGTATTTATTTTCTCATATGTGAGTTGAACTCTTACAATTGTAATCTCTGACATTAGCTGTCATAGGTAGGTGCTCAGATGATGATGTGATGTACAGGTGCATTTGTATCCCTCCAATTTTATTAGTTTTCTTGAATCATTCCCTTAACATTAGGGAATTTTGGTGTCAGATATGAAAGACCAATTCCACATCTGAAAATCCAATTAAACTGATTTATTGTTAAACAATATACTGTATACACAGGAATCTTCTCAATTAATGGTTAGTACCTGCTGGGGTTAGATAAGGGTCCACAGAAATCGAGGGGGACAGGATGCACTTAGTCCAATTGTGGCTACATAAGAATTCTAGGCAGATCCCTCTTTTACCTCTACCCCCAGGTTCTGTCATTCCGCTTAACATTTGACTTCAAATCAAAAGGGTATGTTTTAGACAATATAAATTAAAAGCTTGCATTTAAATAAGAGAAATAGGTGATTTTGTAATACTGTGTCCAGTTCTAAATATAAATTAAGCATTCACAGATTTGAGCACACTTGGAGAAGATATTTGTATAAGAAACAACTGAAAGATTGAAGATTGTTCAGCCTTAAAAAGAGGAGCTGAAAGTGAGATATGTTAGTGTCCTCTAAATATTTTAAAAGCTATCATGAAGATAATGAAGCAAAATCGTTTTCAAGGTCAGGATTAGAATCCCGGAGGGGAACTGCAAAAGAAACAGATTTTGATAAAACATTAAGGGAAATGTCTTAAAGGTCAGAACAATTATCAGGGAAACAGACTACTATTCTCAGCCGCCCTGAGTCCGCAAGGAGAAGGGCGGGATATAAATTCGAATAATAAATAAATAAAATAAATGATGGGTTTTTGCTATCTAGCAGTCTTAAGCAGCTGTTGAACGAGAAACAGGGCCGAATAAAAAAGGTACCTTTTTACTACAATTTTCTTATTTTATAAAGTTATATTGTGTGCTTACATTTCTGATGGGAAACCAGAAATACTCCTGTGATTCAAGGAAAGCAAATGGTCACTGATACTCTGGTATGGGCTTTCACAGCCAACATTTGTTGGGCGGCGTTGGGCTTTTGGGTTTAGTGAATGTGGTAGTCTAGACCAGGGGTCCCCAACCCCCGGTCCATGGACCGGTACCAGTCTGTGGCATGCCAGCAACCGGTCAGCACAAACAAGCAGAGCCCCATCTGTGGGATGCAGGCAGCACACATAACCACACACTGTCTGGTCCATGGAAAAACCTTTCTCCACGGAACCGATTCCTGATGCCCAAAAGGTTGGGGACCTCTGCTCTAGACAACAGATTTTCTGATGTTTTGTTGACAACTGTGGCTAATCTCTGCTCAGTAGCCATGGTCTGTGTAGCAGATAACCTTGCCTCTGAAAATCCCCAACCATAATTGCCAGCTAAATGTCAGGAAATCTGTTGTTTAGGCATGCTCACTTAAACCTGAAGCCTAACTCTACAAAAAAATGTTGATTGTTTCAATTTGGAATTAAAAATTTGGTTTCACATTAAATTTCCAATGCTTAACCAATTAGTAATCCATATGTTGTCCTTCCTTTCTCAGAATAAAATTAGTCCATCAAGAACTGAGATTAAGCCTCTATGTAAATGCCATCCCAAACCTTCCTGATGGTCAGGTTGCTTGAA